CCCCAAAACCCCAAAACCCCAAAACCCCAAAACCCCAAAACCCCAAAACCCCAGGCCAAATTTTCGATATTGAAAATTTTGTAAAATCAGACTGAAAGTCAACCCAAAGGAATAGTTCAAGTTGCATTATTAAACTACATGCATATACTGACGCAAGAAAATTATTTTAAGCCAGAATGACCAATTTAACCTCTTTTAAGAGCAATCGAGACATCTGACTTAAAAATTTGGCTGATGAGGTAACTTTTACAACTAACTTCTCTTCTAATTTTAGTTTTCGAATTTTTTCTAATTCACTGTTTTTGGTCTACCTCAAAACCTGGTGATTTTGATTCCATCTTGACTCTGACTCAGTGAAACTTCTAGGCATGCTCACTGAACATGTAGTAAATGCCCAAGAAGTTCAGACACACAAAGAAGGATTGGCATGAATAAGATGTATACCTTATTTTCTTATAATACTACCCTGAACGACACTTCTTCAGACTTTTGAGCTTATAGCGAAGATCTAATTAAAACTTGCACAATTAGGCAATACAGAAATATTTATGAGCACTAGAAGGCATTTAGACCTGCCAGAGTACTCTCTCTAAGCCTGAGGAGCTCACATTGACTTTAAGGCATTACTAGGGGTTACCAGGTTATCTTCCTGTAAGGAGATTATTGTATAAAAGATTTTTAAGTTTATAGAGGAATCTTGTGAATTTAAGTTGAGTGTACTAGAAATAGAGAAGTAAATAAGCCAGTGAAGAGATTTGTGAATTAAGGGTAAGTAATATTTTAAGAATGGGTCTAAAATTTGGGTGATTAATTCTTGGCATGCAAATTTAAGCTTAGCTTATAGAATAATATTATGTAAACTTAACAAGACGGGATCTTTGCTTGCATTAACAGTTTAAACAGAACAATTGAATAGCAAAATCTAAATTTTGAAGGATTTGGCTTAGTTCAGGAAAATTTGTAGAAGATAAGACTTAAATTTAGAATTTTTCATATTTGTTTTTGAAAGATGTAGGCAAAGGAGTCGATAAGTAGGAAATATACCGATATTATGACATGATTTCTCGATGTAACTACTGGTAGATAATACTCTGGAAATATGTACACCCTCAAACCAAAATGAGACTTAGTTTTTATCCATGTAAATTTCAAGAGTTAAATTCTTGAAATTTACTTCAAGAACCAGGAAGACAAGGTTAAAAATAAGTATGATTATGAATGAAAAGATTCAAAATTATTTGCAAGCTGGTCGAGATCAAAGCCTTCAAAATCGTCTAGAGAGTTTTCATCTGGTATTTCAGGATTTATTCTTTGGAATGAACTCATAGAGTCCACTTCTTCTCTTGAAATGTCTTCTGCAGGAGCATCTGGGATAGCTGAGTTGCTTGTGTTTGGAGGAATACTAACTTCTCTTGTGCTCAACTTCATTCGAGGTTGGGATGGTGCCACTTCTTCCTCAGGAAATGGGACGAAAATTTCTTCAAAATCTCCTTTATTTTCTTCAAATGAGTTCTTTCTAACTAAAATGGTAGGTTAGTAAGGTTAACTTGGGATTATAGTCTCGTCAGTTGTAAATCATCTCTAATGATGCTAAACTTTGGATTGCTTACCATCTCTCTGTTGTAACTCCTTCGAATCTTCCTTACGGTCTTCTCCATTACTGTCACTACAAACTCCTGGGTGGAAGTACTCCTTATCAAATAATGCTTTTGTATCTGCCTTGGAGTCATCCTCATTTTGGTTGCTTGATAAATGTATCGCAAAATTTTGGAAGTTTTTCTCTTTAGAGTTCATCCTCTCAATTTTCCTTGCTTTCAGGAAACTTTCACTATTTAACTTCCTATATACACAAATTAGTGGGATGGCACTTAAAAGGTTCAAGCTATTGGGAAGAGTCGATGTGAAGTTTTGGCTAAATTTCTATAAAAATTCTATGAAATTTCGGACCCACAAGATAAACCTAGCTTTAGTTGGAAAATCTCTTCATAAAAAGCATGAAAATCTGGTAGACTGGTGGCTTTTAGTAATTTATTTAACTTTTATGGTTTCTTTGAAAAGAAATCCCCCTTTAAGAATTTTCAAAAATGCGATTAGAATTAGTGTTTTTCCTAAGAGTTATAATTATGCAACCCAGAAGGATCCCAGTGATTCCATTTTTGAAATTAGTGGAGGGCTAAACTAAAGGTTGGTTTTAACGTTTGAGTATAGGGTAGCAACACAAAGTGATGCTGGTTTAATATTACCACTAATCTTACCCTCTAGGTATAAAATCAGGAAGTAAGGTCACCCTTTGAAAAGTTATTCTTCAGCTTAACTAGGATTTTTACCTAATTTATGTTTAATATATGTGAAGTAGGTTATCCCTGAGCAAAGAATTATAATTGATAGATCCTGTGTTAACTTATTCAAAAGAACCAGGAGTCGCTAAGGTAAAAAGTTCAGACCATATCTTTCCTTCAAGCCCACATTTTCTCCCAAATATATGAAGTAAAAGTCAAGAGAAGTAATGAGTTGAAAAATTATGTAAAAACCATAAAATAAGAACGAGAAAATATATTGACATGAGAAATAACATTTTGGGCTTACTTTTCCTTACGATTTCTCTTAATCCGGGCTCTTCCTCTGACCGCCTCAAGGTTGTACCTGTAGGATTGCCTATCGATTTCTTTGAAATCCTTGTAATTGTAGACCCTAGTCTTCATCCTTCTGGGAGTGTACCTGCTCAATAAATACTTCATGCTGACTTCTTTTTATATATCAAATTGTATAACTAATGATCTCTTAACTTGGGGTTTTGGGGTTTTGGGGTTTTGGGGTTTTGGGGTTTTGGGGTTTTGGGG